GTCTCTTTTCCTAGACAATATTGTTGTTATTATTGACTATTTAATTACCAGTTTTGTAAAGGCATTTGGTGAATGAAAGTTTAGTTTAGTTAGTTGCTCTTCCTTTTGGTTAATAAAGCAGTATGAAGTTGATTCTGGGCTTCATTAACTCCAGAAAATCATGTATTTATTGCACAAGGTGATATTTAGTCCAGTGCTTCTCACACGTTTTGACTACAAGGCCCATCTTTTTCCAAGACGATATGCAAAGGCCCTCCTATCTAAGATGATTTTAATAAAAATAAATAAACTCAGAAATAGCATGTCGGTTTAATGTTGTACATCTTTCTTTACTTAAAGGGGTCATATGATGCGATTTCAAGTTTTCCTTTCTCTTTGGAGTGTTACAAGCTGATTGTGCATAGATAAGATCCCTGAAGTTGCAAAGACTAAAGTCTCAAAACCAAAGAGATATTCTTTATCAAACAAAAGACTCTGCCACGCCCCCCTAAAACGGCTCATTCTAACACGCCCCCACATATCTACCCCACTATGTGGAAATATTTGCATAATCCCGCCGCAAATGTGCACACATATTCTGTTACACCAAATACACAAAATAATGATCTTTAAAAAAGCATCATATGACCCCTTTAAGCCTAAGACTTATTTGGGCCCCTCTTGAAGTTTGCTGAGGCCCCCTGTTTGAAAACCACTGATTTAGTCCAATCTGTTCTACAATCAAAAATCATGCCCCTGGTCTATTATGTTCAAAATAGCATCGGTTTCATGCCCTATCCCATGATCCCATATCCCTTTTCCTACTGATATTATGAATGTCCCGGGATGCTCTTGTCTTTCTGTTGTTTAGAAACTGTAATTCTGACCTCAGGAACCCGAGCGTTGTGACTCAAGGTCGCAGTGTGTTTCCAGCAGATTGGCAGTGTCCAGGGCAACGCAATCCATCTGGGAACTGGCAGTTTCATTCACTTCTGTGCAATATGGGGCACCTGGATGGAAAGCGTGGACTGCGATTGCTATCTCAACCATGTTTGAAGCTCTGAAACAGGAAGGAAATGTTATTACACAGTGACATGCCATATTTTATAACTGCGCGTGCATTTACATTTTTAATCATTTTTTTAAAACCATAAATCTTAAATAATTTTAAGAGATGTTATGCAGAACACCAAACTGTGTGGATATAAAATATACTGTATGAATATATGAGAAGCAGCATTCTAGTTATTTAAAATGTAAAAAAACATTAACTACACACATTGTTAGTTCATATGTATCTCCTCTGATACAGAGAAGGTTACATTTATTATAAAAAAAAACATATGGCATTTCAAAAATTCATTATCATCAGTGGATCACACAGTCCAATTATGACATCTGTTATCCACCAATTGGCTCTACATAGTAACTAGTTGACAAGTAACAGTTGACAATTTCACCATTTTGACAATTTCAAAGGCAGGCCTTGTCTGGCCAACCACATGATATTCTAGACCAGGTTAACCTGTGTTTGAATATGTATTTGAACTTAAATCATGAAATTTTGCAAAACAATATACCCAACATACTTCCATGGGGTTATTTGGTCAGTAACATGGTTGACAACATTTGCAGACATAAAAAATAAGGTATTTTATTAAAGATAATTACATTTATATGCTATATATATATAAAATAAATATATATACAGTATATATATTTAAAATATATATATATAATGTTTTCCTTAAAGCTGCAGTTTAACCAACTTTTTTTTGGTTAAAGGGGTCATATGATGTTGCTAAAAAGAACATTATTTTGTGTATTTGGTGAAAATGAAATTATTATTTATGCGGTTTAATGTTCAAAAAACAGTATTTTCCACATACTGTACATTATTGTTTCTCCTCTATGCCCCGCCTTTCTGAAACGCGTCGAACATTTGGGCGGTGTTGTGACGTAGACATGTGGGGGCATGTTAGAAAGAGCCGTAGGCGTGGTTAACTCTTAACTTTTATAAAGAATATCTCTTTGGATTTGAGACTTTAGTCTTTGCAACTTTACAACATTTTAGGGGTGAAATGCGTATAAAAATGTATTTATTTCAATCATAAAAACATGCTGAGATGGCACGATATGTGTTTCATATAGATTAACATGTCCTCCATGTGACTCAACGTTCAGATTTAAGAATAGGATATTTTTTTCACCCAAGATTTTTACAAGTGGAAATGTAGGCTACGTTTCTGGTAGAATGTCCCTTATGCACAAAGAGCTTGTAACACGTACTCCAAAGAGAAAGGAAAAATTGAAATCGCATCATATGACCCCTTTAAGAAAATTGGTAGTGGAAAAAAAGGACACGAAGACATATGTAGGCATATCGATCCTTTGCTGTGGTAGATCGTTTGTTTCTGCAGTTACAAAGGAGTTTTTGTCAGTTTGTTGGCTTTGAGCTTAAAACATCGATTCCCTTTGAGCTATTTGAGTGTGTTTATGTGAAACGGAGAGAAAATTCCCGAAACTGAGCGTGTTAACAGACTCCCAAATAAACAACACATAACCTTGAGCAGGCGTAGTTGTGTAAGTATGTGGTTAAACTTTCAGTTAACACTTTACACAGGACCCATTCCTGATGACTTTCTTCATTTAAGGGGAAGATTTTGGGCCTCGTTTCAACTGAGATTCAGTTGCCTTTCAAGCGGACCGCTCGGTTGCCAAGCAACGCCGTCAGGTTGCTGCCTGTGACAGTTGCAGCTCGTTGCGTTTTTTCTCTCTTGCTCGTTGACACCTATGGTTGACACACAGTCTGAATGGTTTTGCAAGCAGAGCTTCTGCGAATGGCAAACTGTCTCTAAGGCAGCTGTAGTTTCTTAATGAGTAAAGTAAAGTTCCTTCCCTAACTGTAGCAATTGGTAAGAGCAACATCTGCTGCACATTGCATCTCCTACAGGCCATTGTACATCGATATACACTCGTGAGAAAGATAATCTGACCAAGATGCGAGTCACAAATAAGAGTTCTTGTCTCCTCACTAGTGTATTTATAAATCAACGATCCCTCCTTGCATTTCTAGCCTTAGTATGTTTGTTTATACGCTGTTAGAATAGCATACTTGCTACTTTTTCTTTAGGGCAGGCTAACGTTACATACGTAGGCCTACTGTGCGCAGTAGGATCAGTGATATTTTATGGTATTATATTATTTATGGTGAATTCATGTAAATTGGGACACTTTTTGCCTTTAAGTCGACTGGGGAAAATGGCCCAATTAACCTGAATTAACCCTGCATACTGTTATAGTTTTCACTTTTCAATAGTATTTTGAATTCGTTTTATATCAATTTTAGTTAAAATTTTAGTAATTTTATGTGCTTTTGTAATTTTTAACGTTACTATGTATGTTCAGCTTAATTTTTAGTTCAGTTGTAGTTTTTGTGCTTTGACATATTTCAGTTAGGGAAACATTTATACATTTTAATTAATATAATTTCTAATGTTTAGGTAATCTATCATTTTTATTTTATCAATAATATAGCGACCACTACAAATTTGACTATTTGCTATTTATTTATATTTTGTTAATGTGTATTTGCATATTTGTTACTATTTGATAATAAACTTAAATAGTAGCATTAAAAATGGAGACCACTACAAAATGATCATTTTCTCTGTATTTACTATTTATAGGTATGTGTTTGAGTAAATTGAAAATTTT